TCTGGGTTTATCCTGAGCCTCATCTCTCTCCCTAGGAGCAGCTGGTGATTTCGAACCTCTGATCTTGCAGTTAGCAGGCCAACACGTGACCCACTCTGCCCCCAGTGCTCCTTCCCAAAGACTTCTGAACAAAACAAAAAAACTGGAAGACAAGCCACGGATGGCTCCTTGATTTTTCAGGAAACATTGACCCCGGGGAGTTCAGGAATTTTCTCTGGAGTACCTAGTTAGCAAGGATAGAAGCAAGCATCCAGATTTCCCTGTTCACAACTCTTTCCATGAGTGCAGCCCTCGTGATTGTAGTTTTCGCCTAGAGGCCTCTCCGTGGAAAACAAAGCCTATGGCAATTCCTTTTCCATTGTGGAAGGAGCTCTCACCGATGGCAATGGAGACTGCGTGGCAGAAAGCAACCGGTGTGCACACTCAAATGGCACCCGGGGCATGTGCCACCCCTTAGGACTGGGAGCCATCGAAAAAGCCGCTCCACGTAGGCTCCTCGGTTGATGAGTCTCAAAACAAATGTCTGTAGGTTATTTAGACTGAAACTAGGGAACCAAGGGAGGGTCACATGGGAGGGGAAAAGGGTGTGTCTCACTTCCTTTGCCTGTGTAGACGAAAGAATGAGTCGAGAGAAGTAGTGTTGGTGGGAGAAGAAAAGGTAGAGGAGGTCTCACTTCAGGCAAGTAACAACTGTGCCGGCAGACCCTGGAGCTGCGTGACGAGTGTCAGGGGCAATGATCGTTGAGAAAGGTGTCATGAATCATTTTCCATCCTCTTTCAGAATTCTTAGGAGTCCTGGAGGCACAGCAGTTACGTCTTGACCTTCTAACTGCCACATCAGTAGTTCGAAACCACAAGCAGCTCTGAAGAAGAGAGTGGAGACTTTCTACGTGTGTAAAGTTAGTCTCAGAAACTCACAGAGGCAGTTCTGCACGCTCCCATGGGGTCACTATGGCATCGACTGGATGGCAGTGAGTTTTGGGGTTTTCAGAATTCCTGGGAACTCCACTGTGTGATTGCTTTTCAAGCATTTCACCCAGTTCATGTCATACTATTAGGGACAGATCCTCAAAATGAGGTTGTCCACATAGATCTTTTTATCCATGCTGAAGAATCTCTAGCCTTTCCTAGGGGGCCTCAGGAAGATCACCTGTCCAGTCAATTCCAACTCATGGCAACTTCCCATGAGTCAGAGAAGAACTGTATTCCACAGGGTTTCTGTTAAGTAACTTCTGTTTAGAAGTAGGTGGTCGGCCTTTTCTTCTGAGACATCCCTGGGGGTGGTGAAAGAAGCCCTGCTGTCATGTGGTTAAAGCACTCGACAGCTAACCAAAAAGATCAGTGATTGGAGCTCAAAGGCCATTCCGCAGAAGAATGATGAGGAGCGGAGCCCTGGTGCTGCAGTGGTTATCCAGTGAGCTGTGCGTGATCTGCTCCGGAGAAAGATGGGGTTTCCTACCCGTGTAAACAGGTAGAGTCTCGGAAACCCACAGGGTTAGTTCTACCCTGTCCTCTAGGATGGCTATGAGTGGGCACCAACTTGATAGCAATGAGTTTGGGAGTTGGATTTTTGGGGGGTCTGTAAAGGTCACAGCTTTGGAAACCCGGTGGGACAGTCCCACCTTGTCCTATCAGGTTGCGATGACTTGACATTGACTCAGCAGCGACAAGGTTGTTGTTGTTTGTTTACTTGATTAGAACCACGGACCTTTCAGTTAGCAAGTGAGCACGTTAACCATCGGCATCACCCCAGAACATTTTCTACCCAAGTCTTACATTTACCGTGTCCTCAGATGTGCAAAATATGGATGCTAGACATAGGAAGGGTTGACCGGAGCATCTTTGCATCTTGTGCTTTCAAACAAGCTGAGTCCTTGCTAAACTTTCCGCAGAAGGAGACTCTTACTTCTTCCCATGAAAAGGAATTCATTGTGGTAGAAACCCTAATGGTAGGAATTGCTCTTAGGCCAGCGGTCCTCAACCTGTGCGGCGCAACCTATTTGGGGGTCGGGCAACCCTTTCACAGGGGTCACCTGATTTATCACAGTAGTAAAATGACAGTTAGGAATTAGCATGAGGAACTGTATCAAAGGGTGGCGGCATTAGGAAGGTTGTGAACCACTGCTCAGCAGGTAATTCCTTCAGGTACCTAAGATGAGGAGGATCGCCCAGATTCCATGAACTCTGTTAACATGCTGCAATGTTTCTTATCCAAGTTACTTTTACCTCTCTCTCAGGGCTTTCTTTTTTCAAGATGGATTTAGAGGGCAAGTATAAGGTGACTAAACATTTATGTTAAATAAAATCTACCCTAAATTCAGAAAGAAGGAAATTTGTCCCTGACCAACTCGGCTTCACCCCTTCCCAAACCTATAAAGAAAAACAAAGTAGGAGAGGCTTATTGGTTTCCAGTATTTCGTGATTTGGACAATGACTATTGGCATAAGTCTGGTTAAAAATAATTTCTTAAGAGTCTTGCGGGATTTTTGTTTAAATTCCATGATCCAGACTGTATTGATATTAAAACGATGTACTTATTTAGAGAGCAGCTGTCAGCAGCACTTTGAAGAAACAGACTCATGCGCTCTGAGGGCTCGAACCCAAACAAGACAGGGAAGGGAGGCCGACCCGCAGGTGCGGGACCTTTTCTTGCGGCCGCTGTACACCCAAAAGTGGATCCAACAGAGGTAGCCAGTGCTCAGAACCATCGGATTTCTTTTGTTGTTGTTATTATTTCTTATGATTTGAAGTTGTTAGTGAAATAGATGCGGTAGGAACTAAGAAGTATGCTTTCTTAAAGGAATAGGAGAATCTTCTGGATTGGTTCCATGGACACACGGATTTCTCCTCCAGTTATAATTCTTTTAGCTGCCCCTCTGTGATCTGCTTTTTCTGCGAGAGCACCTTATCCTCGACTCCTAGAGGCTTGGTTTTACATCAGAAACCCTCCACCATGCGTCTCTAATTTTGTTCATTCCCCTGTTCTGGCTCTCCCTCATCGTCTCCTTGTTAAAGACAATTTGGATAATCAGAAAGAGAGAGAGATGAATAAGTTCACGTATACCAATTTATGGGTTCTAAATTGTCTTCGTTTCCCTAAGAGGGGAGGGAGGATCGACAACCATCTCTATAAACACCCATTAAGTGTATGTTCTGGTACATATGTTCTAGGAGAAATAGAATACATAACTTCTGCACATTTTTATTTTGTTGAAAAATGGCTCAGAAAAAGGTGACTTCTTTATCTTTCCTTATCTGATAAGCACAAAACCTCAGTCCAACGTTGAGGAGTTTGGCCTGGTAGACATAAGTGATCAGTGAATAGTATCATTTCGTGTAATGCTTCATTAAACAGTCAAGTCTACAAGCGTGTACATTTAGAATTCTCAAGTTCTTTGCCAAGTTAGCAAATGATGATTTATGGCAGTTTGCTATTACTCTCTGTGTCTTATTGGGCTCTGTTTGGTAACATTATTACAATGGTCCTGTAGAAATTAGGAGTTCAACCAGCACCATTTGGCACGTTTAAGACAATAGGGTTCTGGGTTTCTTAACTCCAATGACATGTTGGCAGCACTTCGAATTTGTGTTACAGATGTTCGGAGGCAGTTAAAGCCAAAGCGTTAAAGAAAAATAAATCGGGCACCTTTGAGTGTAGAGGGCAGGAGAAAACCTTACGTAGCATGAAGGTACATGAACACAATTTGTCAAAAATATTTAGATCTTTTCTCATTGAAGGCAACATCAAGTTGCTGGAAGTAACTTCTATTCAGGTCTGTCAAATTAGCCTCACATTTACTTGTGTGTTTCTGGAAGACAGGTTAGCTTCTGTGGACAAACCAGTGGGCTTATTCCCACTGATCCCTGGGTTGGACGCCAACAATGCATGCCCAGATTCTGGTAAAAGAGAAATTTTCTAGTGGAAAGTTTAGATGTGACAGAAGATGTAGGTGTAGGGCAAGGTGGCTATGCAGATGCATATATTCCCTGGCGAATATGCCTAATATAGCTTATACTCCATAGAAGCTCCCAGATCCAGCTTCCCAGGGCTTCCCCAGCCCCTTAACCCATGAGGGCTCTAAGATGGCCTGGAGTGAACCCACGTCTTCTTCACCTCTCTACGGGTCCTGTCAATAAGTGAAACAGACAGACATAGCCAACACAAGCAAACACACCTTCCCAGTTACAGGCTAATGCTCGAAGTATCTTTCTTGAAGAATACTTGTATGGCTCCTGACTGTCAGTCATTTTGTGGGCGATGACGGATCAATGTTAGCATGTGAGTTAGTTAATTGTGCCAGCCTGGCCGATAATCACATGTGGGGCTGGTTGAAAGGCGGAGGGATAAATGGGTGGTGAAGCCTCGCTTTTCTAGTTCTCGGGTCTCTTGCTTTGTGATGGTCGCACCAGGATGCAGCTGCCTTAGCAGCTTCCTGCTTCAGCTTGCAAGATTGACTTCCTACAAGACATCCCCAAGGAGAAGCCGCATGGACCTTTCCCGATGCAGCCCTGGGTGCTGGAGCAGCCTTATGGAGACCCCTGCTAGTGCTGAGATGTTTATTCGTTTACTGACTCAGCTTTCCTCCTGCAGTCGGCATCATTGCCTCTGTTTTGTGAGGTGGAGGACTTTGTGGACTGGTGTTGGGTTAATGGGTTAATGTTGGACTTGCGGGCTTGGGCAGCATTGGGTTGGGATGTTTTCGTGATGCACATTTTCTTTACATAAAACTCTCTCTTATACATGAGTTGCTGTGGATTTGTTTCTCCAAAGTACCCAGACTAATACAGCATGTGACTCACAAGTGGTCCCTGGTGGGGGAGGTGTCTGTGTGGGGTGGGGGAAGTTGCTGAAAGCATCACTTGCTGCTTGAAAGAGAAAGGGAAGCATTATGGAGACAGTATTGTGTTGTGTCCAAATTTGGTCTTGGGCCACCTTTGCCATCCAGATAAGATGTCACTCACTGCTCGCTCCATAACTCAAGACACCAGACAAGCATCGGTAAAGCATGAACATTTGTATTTAATTTACATTTTGACAATTCGCACATAAATAACAAATGTAAACCAGTACGTAAACATAAGATAGTTTGTTCTAGCAAAGTAAAAAGCCAGTAACTTTGGTCAGTTTTAACTTTGAGGAAAAAAACAAAACCACTGTTGCCTGTGGGCTCAACCTTCACATGTAAGAGGCCTAAGAGGGAAAGTCAGACATTAACGAAGCGGGCCGGTCTCAAGCCGCTGCACATCTTTGTGAAAAGCGCCGGAGGGAAAGCAAGCACCGAGGGCAAAGATGAGAACAAATGGTGGCTGAGAATGAAGGTACCGCCTCTCGGGTGTCACTGTCCGGGGAGTGATGCTTTGGTTTCCCCAGATTCAAACTACACCCCATCACACAGGCATGCACAATCCTGTTCATCTGGCTACTGAAGGGAACTGAGGGATAAGGCTCTTAGGTTTCCTCAGCTTACCCTAAGTATGTTTGATTCTGCAGAGGTTGACACTGCCGTGAACAAACTGTCCTCTATCAAACGGATTGCTGAGTAATGGGTCACTATGGAGGGAGAGGAAGAGAGCAGGAGCGAGGTGGCCGACAGACGACGGCAGGATTTTTATTTCTGACTTTGGTGTGACCACTTAATTACAATGTGGCAGAACAAGAATAGAGCCATCTTACATGGTCCTTGATAGGAAAGCAAACACCAACGTGTTGCTCTCTTTCTCCTCGGCGGTTATGTAGTCCACCCTCGGCACCCACGTTTAGGTCACGGTCCACACACACCGACGTGGGTGCTAACCAGTTTCAGGAAAGGATTGTTTTCAGGGGTGGGTGAGTGGATACAAAGGGCCTTAGGTAAAATAGGTTCTTTTACATGGCTTGGCTCACAACTTATGTGGTTATAAATATATAGAGATAGATATACATGGTACAGTGGTATAAATAGATTTATAAATATACATCATTCTTTGCTACACCTGGAATGGTGACAAGCAGTCTTTGGCTTCAGCAGTACAAGGACACAGCGACACACACTCTATCCTTGTGGCGGACACTTGGGGTTCTTCTCTCGGGTAGCAAACCATTAGATCCTAAGACACTCTTTCCTGCATGGCTGGACTTACTCAATGAGGTAATTGTTGTTGAACAACTTTGCAATGCTCTCTCATCTTCAATTAAATTAACCATAACATGTAAAAAACACAAATACTGCGGACAGTTTTACAGAAAACTATAAAATCGATGTGTTGGGGATAGGAATGTTCAGTTACCCGCTTTCACCCTAAGACGACGAGATACCCGTTTTTCTGTTTTGCAGAGTGTGGCCTGAGCCCATCTACCTCAAACGCCTTCCTGATAAAGCACCCCGATGGTGCAATTTTGACATAAAATAACCAACAATAAAACAACACCCAGACTCAAGCCCCCAAACTTCACACACACACCACCGCCAGTGCTTTGGGAGGAGCCTAGCAGTGGCTTCAAACATGGCATTTTGTCTTCTTCACATTTTCAGATAATACACTGCGATGCAGAAGGCACGTGGCCACCCCAAGGGTCACATCCATGACTTGAGGGGAGGGTGCACTTTTTAAAGAGAGAGACAGGTTGGCCAAACCTTCCTGCCACTTTTCTGGGTAACACTGGGGAGAGAAGTCAGAATGGTACAGAAACATACAAGACTCTTTCTCTTGTTCTTCCTAATCAAGCTATGATTGGGTAAGTCTGCACAAATCCATTAAAACTCTATCTGATCCTACCAATTAACACATCAACCGTTTTAACTTTGGTAATACCAAAACCTCATTCTCAAATATCTTGGAGGGAAGTTGACTGAGGGAAATGATAAGATTTGCTAAGTCTTAGGTACGGTACTTAAGTAGATGTGCAGAAAGAACGGCCACAGGACAAAATCCTAACATTTATACTCAAATTACAAGGAATTTTTCCAGTCATTGTAAACATTTTTAATTATTGCTTTCTGAATGGTAAATTGCATAATAAATTATGAAGTATCATCATTGAAAAAAAATAATTATAGTTACTAGGCAATAGTCTTCGTACTGGGAAGGCTCTGCAGACATCCACACAAGTACTCAAAATACACGGGTTCAAATAGATAGAGGTGGGTGTAAATAAGTAGATATAATACGCATACATACATACATACACATATATAGATATTGTCTTTGCCTTGTTTATGCCCTGAGATTTCAGTAACTTTGGAGTTCCTTCTCTTCATTCCAGAGGTGAGGCGTTCCCGCCTCACTCCTGCCGTCGGGAGAGTTTTGCCAGACTGGGGATTACGGACAAGCACGTTTGGTCCAGGCACCCTGACGCACCAAGTCATAAGTTCAAAACAACAAAACAGCAAAAGCAAACAACGCTTTTCATTTTTCTGAAAATCTTAAGGATCCATTGTCTCAACTGTCTCTTGTTTGACCTTCACAGGTTCCAGAGGTAGTGGCTGACGGGCAGGCAGCTTCCTGAGGGCCAGGTCTGAGGGTTCGTAAAAGTGACACCCGGAGGAGAGGGGTCCGTTCTCCAGGTTTCTCTGCAAGGAAACTTTGAGGCCCGTGTCTTCCTTCTCCTTCCTGACCATGGCCAGGATTTCCTTCTCCACCACAGCGGTCACCTCCATGGTGTCCTCCATGTCCTCGAGCCGGTCAGCACTGTCACTGATGTCAAACTTCTCGATCTCTTCGTTGATGCAGGTGAGGTCCTCCAGCGGCAGCCCGGCGGCGGGGGCCAGGGGGCAGTTTCCCTTCAGGTGGACCTGGAGGCTGCAGAGGTGGATGTAGCTCTTGTGGCACTGGGCACACTTGTGGGGCCGCTCCCGCGTGTGCAGGCGCTTGTGGAGTTTCAGGTGCACAAACTGGGTGAACTTGGCAGGGCACACCTTGCACTGGTAAGGTTTCTCCCCCGAGTGGAGGCGCAGGTGGGTTTTGAGATTGCTGGTGCTGCTGAATCGTTTATGGCAAACCTGCGAGGGGTGGGGGGGAGGGCAGAGAAGGGGGACAGGAAGACCAGGAGATTAGAAGCTGCCAACGGGAGGGGCGAGCTGCATGAAACAAACACCCAGCAAAACCTGGGCAGCGAGAAGCCTCCCTGTCGGGGCACCTGCGGTGGAATACAAGCAAACAGGGCGATGTGGCACACTGCTGGTTTCCCCACCATCTCCCACCCACTGGCAGCGAGCGGGCTGTGTCATCGTCTCGGCTTGTCGTTGAGGACAGAGCCCTGGGAGGCCGGGGTGCTCGGCCTTAGTAATGGGCTCAGCCCAGGGCTGGCAGAATCCTGGGTGTGGGGCAACTACAGGCTGCATGACTCGGGGTTGACCAACACCAAAGACCTGGTCCCCGAGTTTCACCCAGGCAACGCTGCCCACCTGGCATTCGTGTGGCTTCTCTCCCGTGTGTACCAGGTAGTGTTTCTGCAGATGGGCCAGCTGAGTGAAGCCCTTGTTGCAGGTCTGACATTTGAAAGGCCGTTCTCCACTGTGCACGCGGAGGTGGACCTGGGAAGAAGGTGCAGGCGTTAGATCGGACAGCACCGAGACAGCTGTCTGCCCTCAGACACTCGCTCCCGAGGCAGTCACGAGGCCGCCGAGTTAAGAACGGCACCAAGACCACGTCTCAGCCGGTGCAAACACCACCCCGGAGAGGTTCCGCGCGCTGTGTTGGAACAAAACTCAACAGGCGACAAACAAACTCAGTTGCCATCGAGTTGATTCTGACTCGTGGAGACCTGGTCTAGTAGGGTCTACAGGATCTTCTGGCCCAAACCCCACATACTTCTTTTAAAAATTTGGGAGAGAGGTGGTAAGGTGTCTAAAGCCACCCACTAGAAGTGACAATGGTAGAACCTGCATTCACCAAGTTTTCTACTGCTGAAAATGTAATGTAGGCCTTGTAGATCGTAAGCTAAATACACTAGCGCTTTCTCTCTTTCTCTCTCTCTCTCTCTCTCGGCTTACCTTCAAATTGGAGAGCTGGCCAAACGTCTTGGAGCACACGTTGCACTCATACTTGATCTTGCCATTCTGCTTCTTGAGCGGGTAGGGCAGGGTCTTGTAGCCAGTCATGTTTCGTTTGCTCTTGATGAGATTCATGGCTTCATCGCTGCTGGGGGGCGCCAGGGCTGCTGAGGTAGCTTTGGGTTGTACCACGTGCTCCGCCGTGGCGGCGGTGCCCGCGGTCGGAGACCCGCTCGTGGGGCTGCACACCTTGTCCTTCAAGCTGGCAGCGGCCCCGGTGAGGGAGAAGGCACTATGGGGCGCCGGAACCAGCACGTCTCTGGGGTGCTCGGGCTGCAGCAGCCTCCGGGCCCCATCGGTGGGCAGGGAGCTGGGGAGGGCAGCCGGGTTGAGCATGGGGTGAGGGAGGCTGCCCCCACTCAGGAGGTTGCTGTAGACGGGGTACAGCCTCGGGAAGAGACCAAAGTTGTTGATGCTGCTAATGTTACTCAGGCCGTTACAGTTCATGCTGTACGGGGGTAACAGAAACTTGGGGTAGTGGGCATTGTAAGAAGGGATGAAGGCAGGGGGCAGGTGGGGCGGAGGTGCATATCCTGGGTAGGAGCCCAAGCCTTCGGGGCCATAGGGTGCATTCAAGTACGCATAGGGGTCCCTCTGTTCTTGGGAGACCGGGGCCAGAGGCGACCCTGCTGCCCCGGGGCTGCTGTGAGGGCTGGCACTCTGGAGGCTTTGGTCGGGGCTGCTTCTGGCCGAGGGGCTTGGGGTGGTGGAGGACGGAAGAGGGGAGTGGGCCATGTACGTGGGTCTCTCCATCCCGTAAGCTTTCAAAAAGTCTTCGGGTAGCGGGGCCCGGAGCGGGTAGACCACCCGAGGATAGAAGGGCATTTCAGGGCTCCCCTCTTTCCGAAAGTCCTCCACGTCCTTGTCTGAAGCGATGGGCGAAATGTTGGCCCGGTGCGAGTCCCTCCCTTTGGAGGGGTTCGAGTCCAGCCTGAGGATCTCTTTCACGCTGTGCTCTCTCTTGGGGGCAGCGCTCTTGGGGCAAAGCTCGCTTCTTTCGGGGCTCAGTTGCTTAGGGTGGTTCTGGGTAGGCGCTGAAATGAAGGAGAGAAGGCAGTTAGTTGGAGGGGGGGCTCTCTCTTCTCGAGAAAGCCGGAGCACCGGCTGGCGACACAGATCGAGACACTGGGCACCCTCCACACCCCATGTGTCCGTGCGTTCCAGCATCCGTGGGCCTCTGAGCACCGCCGCTCCTTGTCCCTCTCGGACCGGCACAGCAACAGCTTGCGGCCAATGAACAGGCCCTCGGGATCCCTGCGTTCTCACGAGCACAAACCCCACCGGCACGAAAGTGCTGCTCAGACTCGAACAGGCCCGCTTCCATTTAAAACGGGGTGGAAAACTACCAGGGCGGGGGTAGGGGGGGTCAGAGGTGACTCTCGAGTCAGTCTGATGTTCACAGTTTACCTAGAGGAAATCAGCACACCCTGTGAGCGAGATGTGAAAGATTACGAGTCTCATTTCAAGTAACGAAGCAGTCATCAATTTTCACCTCCACTTGGGGTAAATCTGAATGTGATAGAAGCTTGCCCAAACGGCCCACGCCCAGTAGACAGATGGGTGGTGTGGAGGCCACCCCTCACCCTCCACTCCCCTGCAACCAAGAACAGCTCTAGAAGAAGCAGGCTCCCAGCAAGGCCGTCCTGGGAGTCGCAGGTGTGACCCAGTCACCTCTGCCAAACCACACGGGCACTTCCCGAGCCAGTTCAATTACTTAGAGCGCCGAAGGAAACAGCCGCCGCCGCCACCATGGAAGCATGTGCCCCAAAAGGTGTATGATTACTTGGTGAATATGTCATTTCGTGAGAGCAGCCATGAGGAGGCACAGCTCTGCCCCCCTCGCGCACCCCTAGCCTACAGCTCTGACCCCAAACACATCTTCTGTGAATGAAGAGGTGTCCGGGAAAAGCCCAGCAACTCCCTGCTCAGCATTCCCTGGAAGTCAAAGGGAAGCGGAGCGCGTGGAAATAGAGGTCTGGTTCCTGGCCGGCCAGCAGTCAGACCAGAAAGCTGGCGTGTACTGCTGGCTGGCCCGCAGGGCACCCTGGGCTGCAGCATTCAGTAGGGCCGGCTCCAGGCCTAAGTGCTCTCCGGCGTTTCGTCAAGTGTCACTGGGTGTCTAAAAACATCCCCAGCTAGATTTAACAGAGAAAGAACTCCAGGCTTGATATCTGATAGGGCTGGAAATTAACTACATGCAACTCCAGTTTCTGAACCCTTCAAATCCATTCTCTGGGCTGACAGGCTGGAGGGATTCGATTCCAGTCTGATAGCTCCTGGGAGAATGTTATCGCCTTTCAGCTGTTATCAGTTATCCTGGGCCAGCCAGCAGCCTCAGAATAAACACGGGAGAAGGGGCCTAATCTGGGAAGATGCTGATGGGGGGGTGGGGGTGCGATGAAGAGATGGCTGAGAGAGAGGGGTTTCTGAACCCACGAAACCAAAATAAATATCGCCTTATCAGCCAGTATCAGTCTTTCAGGGAGGCCAGCAGGCAGGAAGTGCAAATTGTCACTTTTGTTTTTTAAAGCTAAAACGGCAAAGGAAGAGAGAGACAACGAAGTTGGAAAACTGATAGGCCAGGCATCTCACAGCCACAGGAAGGAATTTACGAAGGTTTAAAACAAAACCTGATTGGGAGCTACAGAGCCCAAACTAAAGGGGGAGTGAGAGAGAGAGAGAGAGAGAGAGAGAGAGTGCGTGCCACCCTAATCAGAGGAAAATACAGAGAAACTTCACTCCTAGCTTTCTGCCACTTTTACTTGGCGAATGATGTTTGACCCAGTCTCCTATTTTAGCCCCCTTTGTAGCTCCAATACTCCCTTGGTCCTAAAACTCCAACACCAAGAAGCCTTGAACTTAAAACATGTAAGTCCAGACAGGAAGGGGGGTGTCTCATGAAATACCACGCTAGAGTCAAGATGACAGAATGGAAACAAAGCTTATGAGGGGGGCCAGTGGATAAAAAGGTCGGGATGGGGATTTTCTGTGCAAAATACTTAGAAGAGGATCCTGCACAGAATGTATCCATCATGAGCGTTTGCCTATTCTTCCACCTTTAAGAACTTGATTACTATCTTGTTCTAAAACAATATCCGAAGCCAGGAGGGTGTTAGCCTCCCTGAGATGGCCTGCAGGTGGGACCCGGGCAGTCCCTAGGAAGGTAACCTTCTTAAAATCCCAACAGCAGCTGAGCAGTCAGTGGAGCTGCGCTCATTTCTGACTCTCCACTCAGCAGCAGCTTGAGTTAACATGAAAAGGAAAATCAAGATCTGTTTTTGTTCTTAAATCATAACTGGCTGTAGGCGGATGGAGTCATTTCAAGAGTGAACTGCTTCAGAAGGCTCTGAATGGTTTAATTATGCCGACTCACATTTTCGTTCTATAATAAGAACCCCAAGACTACAAGAGAGATCCTAGAAGTTCTGCAGTAGGCAAAACAAAAGCCCGTTTTCAACTGAAACTGAGAACGCAGATGAACATTTAGAAGTCTACAGTTTGGTCAACTGTTTTCTAGATGAGATAGATAGAAAAATATCCCTCAAAAACTGGGAGGGACAGGGAATGAACTGAATTGTTTTTATTACATTAAAAAAAAAACCCTGATTGCTTTTTAATGATTTTAAATGGCGTTCAGCATGTGTGACCACTGGCATTTACCATTCCTATCTCAGTTTATTCCCAATCCTTTCTCCTCACAACTCAAACCCAGGGGTGCCATTGCGGCCCTCGAGGCTCCCCTCGGCGGGAGGATGCTGGCCCAGCACGGCACTGTCCTCACGTCTGGACACCCAGCACAGCTCTCCTGGAGACACAATCAAACCTGTGAGACCTGATGAAATAGTGGAAATTTTCCTGATAGAGTCTCAATCATCCGCTGCCACACCCACGATCACTGGTTTCACAATTGGCAGCAGGAGTCTTGTCTGGAAGTGACTGGCTGATGTGAACTCCCTTCTTTGCTGTGACTACTGTGCCAAAGAAAGGTACCAGGCAAGGTTTAACCACCTCTTACTTTTTTTCCTCTTCCCCATAGCAATGGAAGATTCTACAGAAAGCTACTAAGGAGATTGGAGAAGACGAGGTGTCTTTTCACAGCGTGCATGAAAATGGCTTCAGTACTGGGATGAAGTCTTTCATTAGAGAGTAAAAACACAAGGCCTTGAAACAGCTGGTGATTGGCAGAGGGTGGGGGAAGTATGTGACAACGCTTCATCATGCTTGGGGCAAAGTCACTGGGCTGGGTCACCTCAAATGGAGTTACTCTGTAAGGAAAGAACAAAGACTTTCCCTGGCCCCAGAAATGATTAAGCTCTAGAAATGTAAGGAGACCTCTGGCTTGCTCTGCATAGGAGGAAGCAGCAGCTCTTCCCCTGAGATGCCCTGCTGGAACAAAGTTCCATAAAAACGTGACTGTGCGTCCATGGCTTTTCCCACCAACTCTCAGCACCGGGCTGGAGCACACAGACACCAGGTATCCAAAAGGCTCTTGGGCGAAAGGCTCTTGGGCACACCCCATCCGAGATGAAGGAAAAGAACAACCGTCTTTGGTCAGAACTCGATTACACAGACAGTGCTTAGTTTGAAAGCTAGTCTGTTTCTAAACATTCCAAGATCTTTTCCTAAAGTTCCAAGGTGAACTGTGTGTACATAAGTGTATGTATTATGTTACCTTAACAGGATGAAAACACACAGAATCAAATTGTCGGCTGCTTAACACATGACCTTATTTGTGTGTGCAAGCATGACCTCATTTGTGCACAGGGGACTTGTATTTCCATAGCCCTAGATTTACAGAAAATGGAAAATATACAAGAGCTCAAGTAAATAGGACAATGTGGAAATATTTGGACAATGACAGATAAGTAGCTAGTTTGTTCATAGATCCTGAAGTTCAGATCAAATTCCCACGTAGGTGAAAATTGACATTATGCCAAATGTCTCAAAGATAAAAATGTGAGCTAAAACAAATTAACTTCTGATAAAGTAAATGAGACCATAGTATTGGTGAATGCAAGTAGAGGATGTAAGGGGATTCTTATACTCTTCGTGTGTAACTTTTCTTTTAGTTCGAAGTAGTATCAAGACAAAAAGTGACCCCAAAAACTCAGCATCCGTTTTGCATTTTCAAACCCAAAAGAACGAATCTTCAATACTACTCTGAGCCAGCCATAGCGACGACAGAGACTAAGAACTTGATGGGCGTCTTTAATTACCCGAGACCACGTGAGACAGACTCAAATGAAGAAGCCATTGGCAGAGACAGACAGACAGACAGACAGAGAGACAGACACACACACACACACACACACACACACACAGATATATAGAGAAGTCATGATATTAATTTTAAGCCAAGGAAAAATTAAAAGCCAAGGAGCTAAGAATTTGTTCTGATCAAGTGATAGGCAGCTACTGTAACACTGATCAAGAGTTCAGATAATTAGGTCTTTACCATAAGGAAGGAAGCGAAGATACAAAATCTCTTTAGGTGATCTATTTACAATAATATTTGAAAAATCATGACTGGCTTTTTTCTAGGAACGGTTGCACAACGCTCCACGTCAGGATTGAACTTGACAACCAAACACACATCTCCGTGGTATGACCACAAGTATGAAACTGCCATTTGCATCCTCCGGGGGTCAGAAGTGACTCCTCTCATCCTTGCACCAGTCCACCTTAGAATGGGGCAAGCATTTCTATTCCTGGACCTTCCTGAAAGAAACACTCCAAGCAGCTCTTCTTTTCTCGCCCCCCCCCCTCTTTTGTAGTGCTCAAGTGTCACTGAGGGAATTGGCAGGAGGAGGGGAAAGAAAGAAATTCTTCTGAGCCACTCGAAGAAGGCGCCTACTGTGGCCCACAGGCTGCATAATTAAACCACATGGTATTAGCGCCTATGGACAGAACTGGCATTATTGGCATTTGAACATTTGTTGTTGTGGTGGTGTAATCCACTTACTGAGATTCATCATCGTCAGCTCTCCAGGGTAAGGGTAGTGGAGCCTCTCTGCAAAGTCCCGGCAATACCACACAAGAAGTTCCTGGTTGGCAGGGATGGGCTTGATGGTGTAGAAGTAGATGTTCATCCCGTTCTGACACGCAGCCAGGTTTTGCTCCCGGGCAGAATGGGCTGGATTCACATAGCGCATCCAGTTGCTTTTCTCCTCATTAAAGCCGTCGATGAAGTGGTGAAGCTCCCCCCTGGAATAGATCTGTCCAAAAGAGAAGCCACGTAAGAGAAAGGCACACCCCCTAGCACCTCTAAGCAACAAACAGCCAGTCCCCGGTGTGATTTCTGGTCCCCTATTGCCTAGGCAGGAAAAAAGAATCCCATCGGTTCCGCCGGAGCAGGCTTGAATCAGCAGAAATAAGGGCGGGTACAGATAAGGCACACTTTGTCATTTACCTTTTCCATTTCGGTTTTTATCACCGGTGCATGTTCGGGAACAATCACCCAAGCATGAAACACCCAATTTCATTTTAGGAGCTGCCTCTGGCAGATGAAACCACCAGCCGAGCACTATTTTGCGACAGCGGTGAGTGGCAACTGGCTGCTGCTACTAAGTTCAGTTCCGATTGTGCCGACTTTTAATGCTTTGAGTCACCCGGGTAAGGCTCAGAGAGCTGACTGCCACCGACTACGTCAAACTGAGTCTCTCGGTTTTTCTCCTTCTCTGTACTTGCCATTTCCTACACCCCCGCCCAAGGCTTCAACTATGCAAACAGCCTCCACCCGCAACCCTAAAAGTCCTGAAGTAACACTTGCTCATATGAACACTTGGACCCTTGCCTTTTTGTGGAAACCCTGGGTGCGGCAAAGGTGAACTTCACCCGCCATAACAAAGTGAGCCCTGGGACACAAGCCAGGATTGGTGGAGTCACTTTTGCTCTTGAGAAACGTGTTCAGCCCTGCGCTTCTCCTTCAGGCCAGAGGAGAGGGACCCTCCGGTCTGCGAGCCGGCCATGGGCGTGTGCATTTTGGGAAAGGAACAGGAAGACAGGCTGTTGGCTCTTTAAAGGCAACACGTAATGAATTCCGGGCTGGCACTACACAACAACCCTGCTGCTCAGCAGACAGACGAAAGGCACTGGCTGGACAGGCTGCACTAGGAAGAGGAAAGAGAGGTTCAGAAGCTCCTTCTCCATCCCCAGAAAGTCTCTCTCTCTCACTTCTCCAGGGCCATCTGTCCTAATCAATCAAGGATACCTGGTCCTCTGCCACGTCTAGTCTCCCAAGTAGGAGGACCTGGAGCAGCAACGTCGCTCCAGCAGGCCCCGCTTTCACGCACACGCTGGCCTCGTCAGCCTAGAGCTCGTTTCTGCTATTTCACGCCAACGTTATCAAAAATAAAAAAGGAACTCTGTCCCTTTAATATGGGCAGTAAACACCAGAATCACTTTCTTTTAAGAGTAACTTCCTGTAAATTGTGAAGGGGAAATACATGCGGCTTCATCAAAGCAGCTTGTGAGAGCTTTGCGGTGTGCTTTGCTAAGAGAAAATGGAACAAGGCTGGGTGAATTCTGCTACCAAGAGGGGTTTTCAAGTTTGTTTACTCTGATGTGCAAACTTCCAGGAACGTGGGCTCCCATCGCTCTTGCACTGTCCGCTGGGGCGGAAGCTGCTTTCTAAAGCGCGGGGTGTGCTGCTTCCAGGCAGCCTTCCACGGATGACAACTTACTGTATCCTTGTTTAAAAACAGAAAGCACCTCGGGTCCATGAAGTCACACACATACACACCCACAAGAAAATAAAATAGTGCCTGCAGAAAACGAACACTGTTCTCTATCACCTCGCTGCATTTCCATAAATTATCAAGAAGATGAAGAACGTGCTGACTCACAGTGCAATTACAAGAAATAATGCCACTGGTTTCTCGACTTGAACGTCCCTCCTCTCCTGTGTGATTTGCATGAAGCTTTTTCTTCCCCCACAACAGATGTTAGTATTCCTGCCAGCAAAATCAGACTGCTTTTAACTTGTGGGCTGGTGGGCTCGCCTACAATACCCCTAGTATGTGGACAGACTGACAGATTACACCCTCCCCGCTAGGGAAGGCCTGTCAGTCACTTATCCTTTATCTTTAAAGGATCAGGGAACTAGGATCGTGATGGAAGGGTCTGAGGGGTTTCTTGTCATTTCTTTTTTTTTGGGGGGGTGGGTCCTTTCAAAATGACATGTGTGTGAATGAGACTTAGGATGTCTTTAATTCAGGCCTTTGACTCCAATAATTTATACAACTCAGTGGCTCACTTCTGGGAAGAATTTATTGGCAGTTAAAGCAAAAAAATACACTCATGACAATTTCCCTATTAAAAATCATGTAAATATGCTTTAAGCATGAGTAATTATTAAATAAAACTCGTGAGGAGTCAGGTTTTTGTT